AGGAAAGATAAAATTGAATCCTCTTTATTAAATTTTTTGAGCGATAATTTAGATTTGATCCTCCTATTGAATCTCATAATGTGGCAGTTTTCGTTAGTGCATGAATCGCTGACAACTTTTAAAATCATGTTTTTACGACATCTGCCTACAACCTCTGCAAAATATATAATGTAAAATTTAAGTTTTTTTTACATCTACATAGTACATAAATTCTAATACTTACCAATATAACACGGTGCAGTATTAAATATTATATTTGTCGGGCTTATCTCCAAATTGTTACGTTTAAAAAGTTTATCTATTTTAGATACCACTTTCCATGTATTTATATTCGAAAAGTAGACGTAAATTTTACTTTTCATACCTGTACAAACATTTTATAAAGTTTTATTTGTATAGTGAATGTATAAATTTTTATAGTGAAAAATTTTTATAGTGAATTAAATTTGTATAGTGAATATTAACACTTTTCAATTTTCATAATAAGCAATAAATGTGAACAAATTTGTTCGATCTGCTGAAATGCTCTCATCAATTCTGCCAGTCTGTTAATATTCTGCTAACATTTTACTTACCATAGTTTTCATAACTTCTTTGGCCTTTATAATATTCCGCAAACAAATATCTACATACGATTAATTTATCGTCCAAAACGCAATGATTATAACGATGATGTATATTGAAAGGTGCGTCTGCACCCGATGTCCACAAGCCTGCACAATTAAACAAAAATCTTTAAGGACATTATTAAAATCCATTGAATTCTACATACATACTGAAACCAGCCTTGAAGGACGACCGATTGTGTGCAAGTGACAACGATGTAAGTTGAGACCTATGTTTGCCTACAATACACTACATTAAAAAAAAAGGCAGACATCCTCGACTCACACAAGTGTCTCTTGCACACTGTGCAAGACTGTGTCGCCCATTCTCCATTACATTTGCATAAAGAGGCTCATTTTAGTATGATAAAGAGCAAGATAGAATTCAAAAATATTTTCGCACCCAACTATACACATTTATGGAATATTTAAATACAAAAGCAAAAATTAACAAAGAAATACTATTTTATTTAATGACAGACAATTTTAAGACTAAATTAATAAATAATTATGAAAGCAATTTTATGATTAATCTAAAAAAATATACATCATAATCTTCTTAGAGAATTATGACATAAAGTTTAGTAAATCATTACCTGTATACTTTTCATATTGTATTAATAAAATGCATATTATATAACTGTATAATGAAATCACCTGTATAAGTATCGTAGATATCAACACTTTTGTTA